CTCAAATTGGGAGTGTAACACTCAAAACAGAGCACGTTCGGCTTCCGAAAAAAGTTAGCAAACTGGTGCACTTACTTCCAGGTTTGCAGTGTTTGGCTTCCAAGTCGTCTGAGAACCAAGGCACCACTTTAGTGTTTATTGTTTCCTTCAGATTAGTTAGGAGCCTTAAAGGAAGCAAAATCCAGTGTTATCCCAAAGGGATTCCACTTCTCCCACCTTCGTTTTTGAAACTGCATTAGAAAATTTCTACAGAACCCAGAGTGGGAGCTGGACTTGTTTCAAAAATTGCTTTATTGGCCAGCCTGCCTTCTCCCTTGAGCCAACTGGGTACCCTTTCACACAAAGCGGAATCAACTAACTGTCTCTTTGGACTGAAATGACACACCAGTCGCTTGGGAGGGCAGAATGAGATGGCTGCAACAGCTGTGTGCCCAGGTTTCGATCCCTGTTGCATCCTTCTCATGCGCCCTTCCTGAGTGGCTCTGCAAGGAATGTTTCCACGGTGGGGTGCGGAGGGTGAACAGAAACTGCTGAATCACGACAGCCCTCCCTGCTTTGTGAGACTGGGGTCCTTCCACAAACTTATGTGGAAATGTGGGGAACTGGAAAAATGAGAAACAGAAATTCTGATGATAATAATTTAAAAAACCAACCCACTTTCTCACTGGGCCATAAATTTCTGCTAAGATGGGCTTGGCACATGGTTTCAAACACATTGTCAGTTTACAGGAAAAGGACTTCTCTGGCATGCTGCTTGAGGGCGGGTGGGCAGGGAAAGCTTATCAGTTTCACGGCTTCTTTTTACAGCTTTTATACACAATCCTCCAAGCTTGTGCAAGATGTTACATATCCGACCCATTCCCCCACCTAAGTCGCAAGCAGAAGAGTCCACGGCTCCAGCTGCTGATGCATTTCTTTCCGCTTCAAAAAATAGATAAAATTGGATATATGGAAGGTCTGGGATACTTGTCTCTGTCAGCAGAATAAATCTGCATCAGAAATCAAACCTGGTGGATTACTGTGGTATGCCTAGCATTTGTACAAACAATGCATGCAGCATGAGTCAAAGTTTAAATAATAATATTGTTATTTGAACTATGCTAATTTTAACATCCCACCCATAGTCCTTCTCCATTTATTTTCCTTTCTTGGGGTTTAGTTTTGTTTTGTTTGGTAGATTGTTGGTCACTTTGGAAAGGACTGACTGGTTTCATTTAGCCTTTCTAAAAGGGTCTATTGCACTTTCTTAAACTTGAAATGGGACGCGGGTGGTGCTGTGGTATGAACCACTGAGCCTTGGGCTTGCTGATCAAAAGGTCGGCGGTTCGAATCCCATGGATGGGGTGAGTTCCCGTTGCTCGGTCCCTGCTCCTGCCAACCTAGCAGTTCAAAAGCATGTCAAAGTACAAGTAGATAAATAGGTACCACTCTGGCGGGAAGGTAAACGGTGTTTCCATGCGCTGCTCTGGTTTCAGTGTTCCATTGTGTCAGTAGCAACTTAGTCATGCTTGCTGCATGACCAGAAAACCTGCCTGTGGACAAACGTCGGCTCCCTCAGCCAGTAAAGCGAGATGACCCCAGAGTCGTTCACAACTGGACTTAACTGTCAGGGGTCCTTTTCCTTTACCTTTAAACTTGAAATAATGCATATATCTTGCTGACGTGAAACACATAGATTAAGTGCGGAAAGGGCAGGCCCTCCATTAGTCTAGTTAATTACATTGGCACAAGGGGACAGATTTGGACAAGGTGGGTCTGAGATGCTTGCTGCCTGAGGCAAAGGGTGAAATGACTCCACCGTCCTGCATATTTAGAACTTCGAAGAGAGAGGAGCCATTTCAGCCCTTGCCTCAGGCCACATCTGTTCAGATCTGCCCTTCATCCAATTCCAATGTAAGATTCACTGCTGTTTATCGATTTCTCTCACATGCCACTTGGGAATATGAAATTGCATTATAAACGGCAACTGGCCAAAAGATGGTCAGCATCTTCTGACTGAGAAGCATGTTCTTTATGTGGGTGTCAAATTAAGAAAATATTGTATCAAAGAAGCAAATCTCATAGCCGTATTGTCTACAATGTAAGTGTGGAAAACGCTGTATAATAAATATTTTTTTAATCTGGTTAAATTAAATCAGTAGCACAAGTGAAGCTCCATGTGTGAGAGATCTCACTTCACATATTTCAAGGCAATATATTTTACATTTTGCCTTTAATTCCCTCCATAAAAGGCTGTGCTCAAATGAAATGTCAGTGAGAGAACGTCCCTGTGGCCTAATAATATTGCATACCAAGTTTCATTTTGATCTTTCCAATGGAACGTCCGCGTTGCATCTTTCCTGCCTTAACATAAAATGTGTGTGGAGATTTAAATGGGTCTTGAAAATGAAACACTGGGTGGTATTTTGACTATGCACAGCAACTTCCATTCTGATATCTCAAACTCCAAGGCATAGATGGCATTATAGTATAGTCTGCATTTCCCTTACCCTCCTTTACAAATAGGCTGAGCAGCTGTTTGAATTTCAAACCGTGAATTGTGATTTGGATAATATACATACTAAAACTATGGATAGTGTCCAACAGTAGTGAGAACAAACTCATTGACAATAATGTGGCATGATTATTTGATGAGTTTACTCCGTGTAAAACTCTTTGGGCTTAGGCCCAGGATATCTGAAGGACTGTGTTCTCCTGTATGAACCTGCCCAGGCTCCAAGATGTTTTGGTGAGGCCCTTCTTTCAGCCTGGCTGCCCATTTTTATGGGCTGTTGGGAGAGGGCCTTCTTGGTGGGTGCTCCCACTTGGGAGTCATGATGGCTACATGGTGCCTCCAGGATCTGGGGCAGCCATTGCTGGGAAGCAGCCACAGAAGATGTACCCTGAGAATCCCTCCTGGCTCACTTGTGGGGTTTTCAGAGAGACAGATGGTGAACTTCTGTGGGAGGAAGGATGCGGAGCCACAGAGGCCTTGGGCAAGCCTCTTTTCATGCTCTTATCCTCTTGACAGTGTCTGTGATGAAGGAAGAATGTCTCTTTCTGTCCCTGGAGTAGTTGCAGGAGGGGGGGGGAGAACAGGCTCAGATAGAAAGGAAACCTTCTGAGTTTAATCTCCCTGCGGCTGGTGATCACTTTGTGATGTGCCGGGCAAAAGGCTTCCTCCCTCATTCCTTCTCCCACTTCCTACTTGTACATCTTATGTTTGGAAGTTCCTGTTGCTGTTGATTTACTATCATCGCAGTACTGAGTGGTCATTGTGTTCCTGTAACCCCAGCTCCAGAGGGGACTTTTACAATATGGAATGAGTCACACATTCACGTTCAGCACATAACACTCCATCCTTTGAGGACTTAGCGCAAACAAAGAGCTAAACGGAAGCTTTGACAGCTTTGCAATCCAGGCAACTCTGAAACTGTGAAGCATGAACAGGACTGAGACGGAGCATCTGTTGCACCCATAGTGTCAGCTTCCTGACAACCCCTGCTAGCCGTCCATGCGCCATGTACATCCAACCACATAGCAATATACAGGTAAACAGGGCTAAAAAAGGGCAAGGATTGTGTGTTCCCACATGCAAAACACTGAAGGCTGGGAATATGCAGTGTCCCCACAATCTATGTGCAACCAGGTGGGAAGAGGTGTGGCTGGTGTGGTCCAAATTTGCACAAGAAATTGTCACGAAAAGTGTGATTAAATGGGGGGGGGCATTTTTGTTTTTTGTTTTTCTGGATTTCATGGTTCAGACATAAGTGAATTTCAGGCCAAAGAGCCGGAAGCTGGAGAATTGGAGCAGCGCTTTCTCTCCTGCTAAGGTTTAAACCCCCAGGACTATTCTTATTTCAGACTTCCACAATCTGGTATCTTCAGAACTTTTGGGCTACAACTACCTTCAGCCAGCACAACCACAGGGACTGGGGCTGCTGGGAGTTGTAGTGCAATACATCTGGAAGCATCTGGCTGGGGAAGCCTGCATTCTTCCTTTATTTTGGAGGGCTATGACCTCCCTGGGCTCTCTGTGCTTCAGACCAACAGGGCCAACGGCCAGGGATGATGGGAGTTGTAGTCCAGCAACATCTGGAGGGCCACAGAGTCTCCACACCTGTCTTCCGCTCTCAGCAATTAGCATCTTTCTCATGCATCTCTTTCCCTCTCCTTTTGAGGGGGGAGGCCACGAGCCAGGGCCCCAGACCAACAACACCAGTCCAGGGCCTTTTCGGTAGGAGGGCCTTTTCGGTAGGAGGGCCTTTTCGGTAGTGGCACCCGCCCTGTGGAACGCCTTCCCATCAGGTGTCAAAACGATAAACAACTACCTGACATTCAGAAGACATCTTAAGGCAGCCCTGTTCAGGGAAGTTTTTAATGTATGATATTTTAGTGTTTTTTGGTTTCTATGGAAGCCGTCCAGAGTGGCTGGGGAAACCCAGCCAGATGGGCGGGGTACAGATAATAAATTATTTTTTTTTTATTATTATTATTATTATTATTATTATTATTATTATTTCCAAAAGGGTATTATTATTAACTCCCTGTGTATCCTGCCTTTCTTTCGGAAGGAGAGCCAGTTGCACCAACAGCAACAAAGCGTGACAAAAAGCACCTGAGTGACAGACCGCTTTAATTCACTTAAGCTGTGCAAACCAGCAGTACCAGCCTGAATAAAACACTGGGGGACGGGAAGGTAAGCCGCTCTGCATAATCACTATGTTGCACAAGCGCATCATTGGAATGGCAATGCCTTTCTATGGGGTGGGGGGCTCAAATATTTTCTTGCGGGTGGGAGTGGGGGGTGAAAGGTCCTTGGCCCCAGGAGTTGACTCCTATGGTGCAAACCTAAATCCCTTCTGCAAAATACTGGCCGTCTGTGGGGAGGGGGGCTAGTTATCATAGACATCGGAAAACAGGCAGATTCTCAAAATTGAAAACCGTGTGTGTGTGTGTGTGTGTGTGTGTGTGTGTGAGAGAGAGAGAGAGAGAGAGAGAGAGAGAGAGAGAGAGAGAGAGCCTGAGCAAAATCTTCCAAGTAAATCAAAGGCTGCACGGAAGATCAGTTGGAGATTTCCTGAAACAGAGCAGAAACAAACGCGCAAGTCAGGCCAGCCCTTTGCTCCGGACTTTGACAGGCTTCACTTCGGAGCTCAGGGTGGGGGTGGGGAGGGTCTTCCCCGGGCACAGTTCGGAGCCCCACCTGCGCATAAAGAGACTCTTTCAAAATAAATAAACACACAAAATCCCCGCAGCCGAGCCGAGCGCCCCTCTCTCCGCCGCTCAGCCCCCGACGTACGTATCCAGCGCTGCCGAGTCGGAGGAGCGCAAGGCTCCTTCTTGGCGCAGCAACCGACCAACTCCGCGCCGCCGCCGAAAGCGCCCGGCCTGTGGGGCGACCTTGAGCCGTAGACCTCCGACGCCGCCGACGCCGTTGCGAAAAGGCTGCTCGCCGCGCTCGCCTGGCTGGATCCGGCCCCGGGGCAGCCGCCTGGCGGAGAGCACCGACCGCCTCCCCTCCTGCCGCCGCACGTGGCTGCGCTGAGCCGCCGGCTGCCGGGAGGGGGAAACGGGCAGCTCGGGAGCCGGAGAGGAGAAGCGCAGAGCCGCCAGCAGCGCAAGAGGCGGCGGCGGCGGCGGCGAAGTCTTGGCTGCCCCAAGTTTCCCCGAGCGAAAGGAGCGCGCTGCGAGGCAGGAGGCGGCGCCCGGCAGCAGCAGCAGCCGCGCCCTCTGCTCTCCGGCGCCCAGAGCCACGCACAGCCGGCTTTGCGCAGGAGTCGCTCGGGCAGCATCCCGGCCAGGCGAGGCTCCGCAGCGCGCACAGCGCTCGTCTTTTCGCGCAGCCGAGAGAGCGAGTTTAAGCCCGGAACAGGTAAGGACCGGCTGGGCAACCTGGGGGGGCGCGCGGGTCCCCTTCTCCGTCGGCCCTTTGCTTGTTTGTTTGTTTGCTTACTTACAGTATTATTACAGAAGTGTAAGTTGGAAAGGACCGGCAGGATCCAACCCGCTGCCAGGCAGAAATCCTTCACTCAACACTGGGGCTCGAACCCCCGTCCGCATTGCTTATTTTGGGTCCCCATTTGAGTGCCACGACTCAAATTGATTATGTAGCACAGTTGTTGTCAAGGTGTGATGATCTGTCCTGGAACAGCCCCATTGAAGAAGAGAACAGGGGTTGTTACCCAGACCTCGTTGCGGGTTGAAAAGGGCCCCCCATGACAGTTCAGGACCCCCGAAATGTAGGTCCGCCACTGGCTCTACCAACCGAGCTACCCCAGCTGTCTTATTCCAGGGCAAGGATTGCGTCTTGCGGCTGACAAATTGGCTGAGCAATTGTGCCGCTGCGCTAATGTGCTTACAAGCGGCGTGGCTGCTGCAAACAAACTGGGACGTGTCGGCTTTCAATTATTATTTTTAAAAAGTAGGGAAATCCTTTATTTTGTTTTATTAAAAAAATGCTTGCCCGAGCACAGTTCTCTGCAATAGGAAAGCAATAAGAATAATAAGAACAATAAATCACTTATATTTTCCACTGCGATTCGGTTTTGGCGAAACGGGGGCTTGCCTCTTGGCTGTTCTCTATTTTCCAAGGATGCCTGTTGCCTGCGTATCCCACCTGCCGCTGCTTCTTTGCAGCATGATCCTAAGGCTGAAATCTTATGCACCCCTCAGCTGCTGGGACTAAGCCTCATTTAACCCAAGAGGGTTAACCACATGTGTCTAGGATTGCAGCTGATTGCAGTTTTATTCGGAGATTAAACTTGGTGCGTTCTTACTGTGACTTCTGAGCATGTTTGCCTGAAAAGCATGTCTGGCTGCTCAGTGGGTGCTTTCTAGTTGAGGGTGTCTAATAAATCCAAGCAGGAGCTTTGGAAGGAGCTGGAGCAGCATAATGTCAAACCCAAACTCACCCCCTCACACACACACACCCAAAAGTGTAAAGGGAGAAAGGATTCCCAACTCACAGATCTTTTCTCATAATCTTTCCCTTGCAATCCTCTCCATGGGAGCTTTTGACAGGTTGAACTGCAAGTGGTGTTTTCTCTTCCAAGAGCACAGGTGTGTTAGTTGGGTAGCAACCTTGCAGACACAAGTCTTTTGACCCCCATCCCGGACAGATCAGGGCCAATGATGATTAACACTGGGATGGAGGACTTATGGATGGTGGAGTATAACTTCTCCATTAAGGCAATTTCCCCTCATCCTCCTGTTAATTTCATGGCACTCAGATGTTAACTGTCTAACCTTTCTGGTGGGTGCACTTAAATAAGTTCTAAGATCCAGAGGTACCAGTAAGTCACTCCGAATCACATAGTAAAGTTGTGTTTGAGCTGATTGGCCTTATCAGTTGCATTTATATTTGGGTAAACAAATCTGTAACAACTCTGTACTATGTAACTGTGTAAGTTCACTTTTCAGTGGCCCCCCCAGCACATGAGAGTTGCTTAGGATGGTGCCAGAAACCAGGGACCAGTCTATCCAGGGGGATGCAGTTAAGGCTTTAAAACAGCCTTCCCCAACCCGGTGCCCTCCAGATGTTTGAGATTCCAGCTGTGATCAGCTCCTGCCAAGCGCTGCTGTTCTGGCGGGGAGTGGGGGAGATGGTAGCTCAAAACATCTGGATGACACCAGGTCGGGGACTGTTTTAAAACAACTGCTTCTTTTGCAAGTATTGGCTGTGAGATGTAGGAATAAGTATTGTCATTCAGGGAGTGTAATGTAATTGCCTCTGGCCGCTGTGCTCAAACAAGGGTCCCTGACTGGTCTCTTTTGTAGCATTCCCATTGCAAACTTCATTCGGAGCAGCAGGAGTTTGAAATAAAAAAAAAAGAGGTTTTGATTAGTGCCCAGTCTCTTGGGGAAGATTTTGAATCCTCCCTCTGCAGTGGTAGCATTCAGTATCATGCTCTGTGAAGTTCTGGTGGAGCACGGGTGCCTCCTGCCCCCCAAATGATTGTTGTTGTTGTTTAGTCATTTAGTCGTGTCCGACTCTTCGTGACCCCATGGACCAGAGAACGCCAGGCACCTCTGTCCTCCACTGCCTCCCACAGTTTGGTCAAACTCATGCTGGTAACCTCGAAAACACTATCCAACCATCTCGTCCTCTGTCGTCCCCTTCTCCTTGTGCCCTCCATCTTTCCCAACCTCAGGGTCTTCTCCAGGGAGTCTTTTTTTCTCATGAGGTGGCCAAAGTACTGGAGCCTCAGCTTCAGGATCTGTCCTTCCAGTGAGCACTCAGGGCTGATTTCCTTCAGAATGGAGAGGTTTGATCTTCTTGCAGTCCATGGGACTCTCAAGAGTCTCCTCCAGCACCATAATTCAAAAGCATCAATTCTTCGGCGATCAGCCTTCTTTATGGTCCAGCTCTCACTTCCATACATCACTACTGGGAAAACCATGGCTTTAACTATACGGACCTTTGTTGGCAAGGTGATATCTCTGCTTTTTAAGATGCTGTCTAGGCCTGTCATTGCCCTTCTCCCAAGAAGCAGGAGTCTTTTAATTTTGTGGCTGCTGTCACCATCTGCAGTGATCATGGAGCCCAAGAAAGTAGAATCTCCCACTGCCTCCATTTCTTCCCCTTCTATTTGCCAGGAGGTGATGGGACCAGTGGCCATGATCTTCGTTTTTTTTTTGATGTTGAGCTTCAGACCATATTTTGCGCTCTCCTCTTTCACCCTCATTAAAAGGTTCTTTAATTCCTCCTCACTTTCTGCCATCAAGGTTGTGTCATCTGCATATCTGAGGTTGTTGATATTTCTTCCGGCAATCTTAATTCCGGCTAGGGATTCATCCAGCCCAGCACTTCACATGATGAATTCTGCATATAAGTTAAATAAGCAGGGAGACAAATGATGGGGAGCAGCAAGTTCTCAGCTTTGATCAGCAGACATGCTCTCCAGCTTCTCCCTTGCTGGCTCCAGAAACACCTTGCAGCACCTCCTCTGGCAATGCCTCTCTAATGCAGGTGTAGCCAGAGCAGAGGCCTTCAAAGGTTAGTGCCCTTCAGTTCCATCAGCCCCAGCCAGCTTGGCCAATGACCAGCGATGGGAGGAGGTACAGTCCAGCCACCATATTGGTTCCCCTGCCCTCCGTGCCCTGACAGGAGGCCGAGCAGGACACTTCCTCTTTATGGCAAGCGGAGAAGACAGGAGACCTTAAACTAGGGGGGAACCTGATCCAAGAGAGAAGGAAGATTATTTGAATATTACGTTTTTATTTGTTCATTACCTGCCCTTCCCTCTAAGGTCCTAAAGTGGTTACAACATTAGAATGCAGATTTGAAGACGGTTTAATACAAATTAGAATAATAAAAATTGAGGTGCATTCTAAAAATATACACCTCAAAAGTCAGAGTAAAGAGGGGCATTGTCAGCATCCTCCGGAAGTTGCATAATGGAGGCGCCGGATGCATCTATGTGGGGAGGCAGTTCACAGCTCACAGCTGCCACCACCCCAATCTCAGAAGGTTTGTAGGGAAGGAGATGGTCTTGCCAGTGATTCAGGGCCCGAATCATTTGGCGCTTCCAGCACCAATGTGAGCATTTTGAACTGGGTCTGGAAATGAGCTGGCAACCAATGGCAAATTGCACAAAATTTTCAAATGGCAAGAACTGCCCTCTTTCAGGGATGCTCCAGCTTCAATATCCCTGCACTGAGCAGGGTTGGGCTCAATAACCGCCAAGGACACTCCCCAATTCCAATAGCTCATCCTTCTAAGCTCACAGATCTGTTGGCTTGTTTCTCTGCCTCGCGTGTGAGTTTTGAGTCGTCCTTGTGAACAGACGAATCATAACTCCGTTTCTCTTCTGATTCTGGTGACGGAAACGGCAGGTTTCTTTAGAAGTTTCTGCGTTAATCCTTTCCTGACGCACAGAGTTACGAGCAACATGCACCTTATTAAAGTTATTTAGCAGTTCTGTGCTGAAAAGTAGTCAGGCAAATGTTAGAAACAAGAGGCAAGCCAGCACTTGCTGCTGCTTTATAAAAGGTCCCAGAGCGTTTCGTTTCGCCTGTCAAAATGGACTGGCCCTTCCACAGTTTCCTCTTCCTCACCTTCTCTGCAGGTGAGTTGCACTTAGTCAGGAATTCACCTTCAATGGGGTTACCTACCAAGAGAAAACGAGAAGCATCCCTCCATTTCCCCCTTCCCTTGTTCAAGACCTGTGAGGAGATTGCTTTCCATTGGAGAGAAGATGGAAGTGGTCAGAGGCACTTAGCTTCGGAGCACCATTGTCTGGAAAGCACATGAGAGGGGAGAGGCCTCTGGTCTTGCTTGTGGTTTTCCCTAAAGAGGCTTCATCCTGGTCACTGTGAGAACAGGATGCTGGACTAATTGGGCCATTGGCCTGACCCTGCAGGTGTCAGCACCACCCTTGAGCCAGTGTCATCAACTGGACTCATCCACTCAGCCCCGACTGGGCTAGGCGAGCTGGGTAGCATTTCCAGAGACCACCTTCTCCACAGGAACAGGTCAAAGTGCTGTGGACTCACAGCTTAGAGTTGTGAGCACCGGATTCACTTCCACAAGAAGACAGTCGTCGCACAGCAGAGTATAGCAGAGCATAAACGACTCGGAGAGCAGCTCTGTAGAATATCTTCTTTATTCTATCTACAACTATAATACACAACTATATACAGAGCTAAATGAGGTCTAAAACGAAAAAGCTGAACTGCACTGAGTGTCTGCAGCTGCTCTTAGCAGCAACCTTATGATCTCTCTCTAACACTCAGTCTCTCTCTCTCTCCGACACTTTGGCTGGATAAGTAGAGAGCAGAAACCGCCCCCTCCTCTCTGGAGAATCAGCAGAGAACATCAGCAGATTATTGGATATGGGAGGGGTGAAATCTCCTCAGCAGGTTCTTTCTTGT